CATTTGAGGTTTGAAATTTGTTGCTTTGTAACAATATCAAGTGGGGTTTGTGAGATGAGTACTTGTGGAAAATAGTGATTAAATTGGGAGAAGGGCTGAGGCTGTAGCTCAGTGGCAGAGCACTTGCTTAGCACATGTGAGGCACTAGGTTCAATTTTTTTGCACCACATAAAAATAAATAAAATAAAGGCATTCAGTCCATCTACAACTACATTTTTTTTTAAATTGGGAGGAAAGGTAAAATTGAAAGGCTAGCCCAAGAAGTACCATAGCTGAATAATAATAATTAAAAAAATATTTTTATTAGTTGTTGATGGACCATTATTTATTTATTTACATGTGTTGCTGAGAATTGAACCCAGTGCCTCACACATGCTAGGCAGGTGCTCTGCCACTGAGCCACAATCCCAGCCCTGAATAACAAGAATTTAAGAGAGAAAATATAAAGGAGGATGTCATCAAAGAAATAAATGAGGAAAACTTTTCCAAATGGAAGATTTTAATTTAGGTTCATCAGAGTGCTGTGCAAAACAGATGAAAAAAGATTGTGTTAAGACATTCATTGAATTTTTACAACTAAGAGGCCAGAGAAAATAAGAGAAGTTCCTGGGGGCAAAGGAAAAATAGATTAACTAATAAAATTAGAGTAGCTTCAGATTCTTCAACAAGAATAATAGCAGCTAAAAGACAATAAAGAGCATTATCTTAAAAAATCTGAGGGAAGCCACTTGAGGTGGCACATGCCTATACATGTGGGAGGCTGAGGCAGGAGGATTACAAGTTGAAAGGCCAGCCTCAGCAACTGAGTGAAGCCCTTAGCAAGGTCCTGTCTCAAAATAAAAAATTAAAAAGGAATGGAGATGTAACTCGGCGGTGAAATGTCCCTGGGTTTTAACCCTCAGCACAAAAACAAACAAACAAAAAACCCTGAAGAAAAATCATTTCTAATCTAGAAGTTTATAACAGCCAAATTTTCAAGTGTGACAGAAGAAAGCCATTTTCACATTGTAGTGTCTCAAATTTATGTTTCATGTAACTCTTCTCAGGAAGCCAGTAGAGGAAATATTTCACCAAAAATGAAGTAAAGGGAAGACCGGGTTTAGGAAACAAGTGTTTCAACCCAAGAAAGAGGATAAGGGAAAAACTAGGATCACAATTCTGTAGTAGGTACAGAGAGCAACCAGTTCAGAATGGAGCAGATTAAAATCAAGGTTGAAAAAGGGACTTGATGAAAAACATAAAATTGATAGCTCATGTGATATGCTTGAATATATTGAGATTTATGCAATTGTATGAATTGGAGAACTATTGGGAATAAATAAACACAAATAAAACTAAAAAAATTAAGAAAGGTGAATGGGTTATCTGCCGCAGTCTGGCTGGGCACAATTCAGGAGCCACTTGTCAAAAGAAACGAACTTTATTTTTAGAACACACACACACACACCACACAGCTCTTAAGGAATTCCTTCAGAGCCCTACAGCCACCACCGGCTTCCCACAAGCCTCTCAACCTCCCCCCACCCCTCCTGCTCTTGAGGCCGATTGGCTGGGTCACGTGGGCGGAGCCAAAAAAGTCCCCCAATGAGCAGCTCCGTGGTCTGAAAGGGCCGGGAAACAGCCCAATGAGCATCACCGCAGAGGAGCCAATCAGCTGGCAGCTAGAAGTTTGCTGGGGCTGCTGTGGGCCAATCATCAGCTGGCAGCTGGAAGTTTGCTGGGGCCCCTTTGGCTGTGGCTCTCAACAGTTTTCCACCTGTCTCAACCTCCCGAGTTGCTGAGATTACAGTCATATACCATCTGTGCACTCCCATTTGGAGGCATTTTCTTTTTTTTTTTTTTTAATTTTTTTTATTGGTTGTTCAAAACATTATAAAGCTCTTGACATATCATATTTCATACATTAGATTCAAGTTGGTTATGAACTCCCAATTTTACCCCAAATACAGATTGCAGAATCACATCGGTTACACATCCACATTTTTACATAATGCCCTATTAGTAACTGTTGTATTCTGCTACCTTTCCTATCCTCTACCATCCCCCCTCCCTCCCCTCCCATCTTCTCTCTCTACCCCATCCACTGTAATTCATATCTCTCCTTGTTTATTTTCCCATTCCCCTCACAACCTCTTATATGTAATTTTGTATAACAATGAGGGTCTCCCTCCATTACCATGCAATTTCCCTTTTCTCTCCCTTTCCATCCCACCTCATGTATCTGTTTAATGTTAATCTTTTCTTCCTGCTCTTCCTCCCTGCTCTGTTCTTAGTTGCTCTCATTATATCAAAGAAGACATTTGGTATTTGTTTTTTAGGGATTGGCTAGCTTCACTAAGCATAATCTGCTCTAGTGCCATCCATTTCCCTGCAAATTCTATGATTTTGTCATTTTTTAGTGCTGCGTAATACTCCATGGTGTATAAATGCCACATTTTTTTTATCCATTCATCTATTGAAGGGCATCTGGGTTGGTTCCACAGTCTAGCAATTGTGAATTGTGCTGCTATGAACATCGATGTAGCAGTATCCCTGTAGTACGCTCTTTTAAGGTCTTCAGGGAAAAGTCCAAGAAGGGCAATAGCTGGGTCAAATGGTGGTTCCATTCCCAGCTTTCCCAGGAGTCTCCATACTGTTTTCCAGATTGGCCTCACCAGTTTGCAGTCCCACCAGCAAAACTGGAAATCCATATGCAACAAAATGAAACTGAATCCCCTCCTCTCGCCATGCACAAAAGTTAACTCAAAGTGGATCAAGGAGCTAGATATCAAATCAGAGACTCTGCGTCTGATAGAAGAAAAAGTTGGCTCCGATCTACATATTGTAGGGTCGGGCTCCAAATTCCTTAATAGGACACCCATAGCACAAAAGTTGATAACAAAAATCAACAAATGGGACTTACTTAAACTGAAAAGTTTTCTCTCAGCAAGAGAAACAATAAAAGAGGTAAATAGGGAGCCTACATCCTGGGAACAAATTTTTACTCCTCACACTTCAGATAGAGCCCTAATATCCAGAGTATACAAAGAACTCAAAAAATTAAACAATAAGAAAACAAATAACCCAATCAACAAATGGGCCAAAGACCTGAACAGACACTTCTCAGAGGAGGACATACAATCAATCAACAAGTACATGAAAAAATGCTCACCATCTCTAGCAGTCAGAGAAATGCAAATCAAAACCACCCTAAGATACCATCTCACTCCAGTAAGATTGGCAGCCATTATGAAGTCAAACAACAACAAGTGCTGGCGAGGATGTGGGGAAAAGGGTACTCTTGTACATTGCTGGTGGGACTGCAAACTGGAGGCATTTTCATATTCATGTCTGGTTGATGCTAGTGCCTAAGCTGGACAGAATATCTCCATCTACTCTTTAGATGTGGTCTCTCTGGACTAGTTTCGGCTTCTTCCACCCTTTTTTTTTTTTTTTTTTTCAGTTGTGAAGATTGAACCCAGGGCCTCATACACACTAAACAAATGCTCTTCAATTGATCTATATCCTTAACCCCTAGTTTGGTCCTCTTAACAGTATGTTGGCTGGATTGCAGGAGGGAGCTTCCATAATCACTTTTGGTATACACTATTGGTTGAAGCAGTCAAAAAGTTCTTCTCTGATTCAAGGGACAAGAGGGTACATGAACTTCATCACATAATAGGAAGATGTGGATTAGGAAATATGATCATGTTATGGGTTGAATTATGTTCTCTCTTTCTCTTTTTTTAATTAATTTTCTTATTTTTAATTTTGTAATTGATTTTATTTTTTTAAATACATGACAGCGGAATGCATTACAATTCTTATTACACATATAGAGCACAATTTTTCATATCTTTGGGTATAAAGTATGTTCACACCAATTCATGTCTTTATACACATACCTTTTTTTGCATTACAATTCTTATTACACATATGTACCACAATTTTTCATATCTCTGTATATAAAGTAGGTTGACACTCAATTCGTGTCTTCATACATGTCCTTTGGATAATGATGTTCATCACATTCCACCATCCTTGCTAATCCCCTGCCTCCTCCCTTTCCTTCCCACCCCTCTTCCCTATCTAGAATTCCTCTATTTCTCCCAAGCTCCCCCTCTCTACCTTTGGAGCTAGTCATTCTGTGAAAATGCTCTTTACTGGTTTGAGGACAGATTGATAAGGGTCTCATTACATCTTATTTATGATAAATACACCCAGTTTTTTTAAAAATTAATCATATCACAACATTTCCCTATCATGATCACCTCAATGACATGTTTTAATTCCTGCTTTACAATTGGGTTTGACTAAAATCCTGATTAAAAATATACTTTACATACTGACTCAGCACACCTGTGCTTGTACATACATACATACAGTATATATTTTTAATACATATGTGAAGTAAAAATTTCATATAAAATTATATCTTTTGATATTTTTTGCCCTTTTTCTTTTTTCTTTTTGGTACCAGAGATTGAACCCAGGGACACTTAACCACTGAGCCATATCCTTATCCCTTTTTATATTTTATTTAGAGCAGGGTCTCATTGAGTTGCTTAGGGCCTTCTAAGTTGCTGAGGCTGGCTTTGAACTCGCAATCCTCCTGCTTCAGCCTCCCAAACTGCTGGGATTACAGATGTATGCACTGGCTCTTTTTCATTTTTAAATGAAATATTTGTGTTACCATTTAAGTGATTTTATCACTCCCTTGTGTGTTTCAGTTTGTAGTTTGCAAACATGAAATTTGGAAAAGTTTCCAAAACCTATATGTTAGGGTCATTATTGCTAAAACTTGTTTCATCTTTATCATCTCAGAGAGAGAATTCTAATGGTAATTTTTAAGTAGAACTTAACAGGATTGTGCTTGCCTAGCATGTGTAAAGGCCTGAGTTGGAATCCCTAATGTAGCAACAACACAAAATTTAAAAACAAAAAACAAGACAGGATTCTCAAGTTCTCAGTAATAAATGCAATAAAACTAAAATCTATGCAACTTATTTTTTAATCCTCAGGTGGCGACAGACAAGGTTGCAGAAAAGCTGAGTTCTACTCTCTCATGGGTGAAGAACACAGTTTCGCATACAGTCAGTCAGATGGCCAGTCAGGTGGCAAGTCCATCTGCTTCATTACACACTACATCCTCATCTACCACACTGTCAACACCAGCCCTTTCACCGTCTTCCCCATCACAGTTGAGTCCGGATGACTTGGAACTCCTGGCTAAACTGGAGGAACAAAATAGGTGAGTGAGGTTACTTGGTGTTCTCTTTCCAGTTATCATACAAATCCAACTAAAGTAAAAAAAAATTAAATATTTACTCATATTAAGAATGTTTGTTTTCTAGTTTTTGGCTTCTTTATCAGATTATGTAACAAAGTATTTTAGTCTTTTGGGTTGAGTGTTGGTCATGAAAAAGATTAACTTTTTCTTCCTGTACGGTTAGATTTAGAGGTTTGTTTTCTTAATACAGCAGAGTCCCTAAATCCCTCCTGAACTTTATTTAAAAATATTTTTCTTTGGTGGTACTGAGGATCTCACCCAGGGCCTTGCATTTGCTAAATAAACACTCTACCACTGAGATATACCCTCAGCCCTACCATTTTTATTTTAAACTTTCTTTATAGCCCCCTTTGGTTAAAATGTAAAACAGTTTAATCTAGTATGAATATCTGATTTGTGGTTTAGAATGGGAAATCTTTTCAGAAATGTAGCCATGAAAGGCACTATATCACTATCTCATTAGAGTATGAAATGGAATAGTTGTTTACTTTGCTAGGAATGTGTACTCTGGATCCTTTGTATTTCTTCACTATGTTATTATCAAAACCTCATTGGGGGTATTGTGTACAAAACAATATAAAGAAGAATACCCTTTTGTGTTTGACCAAGTTATATAATGCCACTGGCTGTATGGATAATAATAATGGTAATTTTTAACAGCTTTTTTGGTGTATAATTGATATAATAAATTACCAATATATAAAATGTACATTTTGGTAAGTTTCAACATTGGTGTATTCTGTGAAATTATCACCCAAATAAAGAAAAAAAATCTGTATCATCTCCCCCTCCATGTCCCACTGTAGAAATAGAATCATTCACTATTATACCCTTTTTGTATGGATTGTTTCATTTAACAGAATTATTTTGAGAGTTGTCACTCCTTTTTGTTGCTTAGCTGTATTCCATCATATGGATATATCACAGTTTACTCATCTGTTGCTGTGAATGGTATAAACATTTGTGGATAGGCCTTTGTGTTAATGTATACTTTTCACTTCTATGGGACAAACACCTAGGAATAGAATTGATAGATTATATTGTAGATATTATGTTTCACTTCCAAACTATTTTCCAAATGGCCTCTATTTTTTCACATTCCCATCAGAAGTCTATGAAATTTCTAGTTCCTGTACATCCTTGCCAACAGTTGGTTTGGTCACTCTTTTTTAATTTTAGTCATTCTATGAGTATTGATAATATGTGGTTTTAATTCAGCACTCATAGTGTTGAGCATCTTTTGTATTTATTTACCATCTGTATGTCATCTTTTTTCTTTTTATGGCACTGGGGATTCAAATCATGGGCACTCTACCAGTGAGCTTCATACCCAGACCTTTTTACTTTGAAATATGTTCTCGATAAGTTTCCAAGGCTGACCTGAACCTGTGATCCTCCTGCCCAGTCTCCTGAGTCACTAGGATTCCAGGTGTGAACCATTCTGCTTGACTAACTTATCATCTTTGATTTTAAAAAGTAAGGTAAGCCCTACTTGGTGGCTCACTCCTGTAATTCCAACTACTTGGGGGGCTGAGGCAGGAGGATTGAAAGTCAAGGCCAGCCTCAGCAAATTAGTGAAACTCTGTCTCAAAATTAAAAAATGAAAAGGGCCTTGGATGAGCTCAGTGGTAGAGTCCCTCTGGGTTCAATACTTAATACCAGAAAAACGAAAATAAAGTTAGGTTGTTTGCTTTCTTGTTATTGTGTTTTGAGAGTTCTTTATATGTTTGGGATATAGATACCTTATCAAGTACATGATTTTCAAATCTCATTTTTCCAGTCGGTGGTTTTTTAATCTCTTAAAAGTATCTTTTGAGCCATGCGTGATGGTGCACACCCATAATCCCAGCTACTCTGGAGATTGAGGCAGGAGGATTAGAAGTTTGAAGCCAGCCTGGTCAATTTAGCAAGAACTTGTCTCAAAATAAAACTAAAAGAGGACCGAAGATGTAAATCAGTGGAAGATCATAGCATGTATGAGGCCCTGGGTTCAATCCTCAGTACCATTAAAAAAAAAAAAGTGTCTTTTGAAGAGAAGTTGTTATAAATTTTGATGAAGTCCCAATGTTAAATTGTTTTTTCTTTTAATAGATTGTGTTTGGGTGACTCACGGTTACACAGGTTCTCTTATTTATTTTCTTCTAGAAGTTTTATTATTATTATTTTTTAAAGAGATGGGATTTTAACAAATTAGAACAAATAAATTTTTTAAAAAAAAGAGATGTTTTTTTTTAATGCTAATTAGGCTGATCACAAAGTTTGGTACAGAAGTAATCCTTCTACCTTAGCATCCTGAGTAGCTGGAATTATGGATGCCCAACATCATGCTCAGTCCAAGAAGTTTTATAGTTTTAAATTTTACACATAACTCTGTGATCTATTTGAGTTAATTTTGTATTTGATGCAAGGTGTAGATCAAAGTTTATTTTTTTGAATATGCACAAACATGATTTTTCCTGTACTGTTTGTTAAAACCAGTATCCTTTCTCTATTTAATTACTCTTATAATTTGGTTAAATATCAGTTGTCCATAAATATATGAGTCTCTTTTTGGACTCCATTTTGTTTTATTCATCTCTTTCTGTTTTTTAATGCCAACATTATACTACCTTAGTTATTATAGCTTTATATTGAGTCTTTTGTTTTTAATTTTTTTTAGTTGTAGATGTAAACAATACCTTTATTTCATTTATTTTTTTATGTGGTGCTGAAGATTTAACTCAGTGCCTCACACGTGCTAGGCAAGCATTCTACCACCGAGCTACAACCTCAGCCCCTGTATTGAGTCTTGAAATCAAATAGTGTTAGTTTTCCAACCTTGTTGTTTTGTTTTGGCTTTTGGTTCTTGACATTCCCATATAAATTTTACAATCAAGTTGTTAATTTCTGGAAATATCTGGAAATTTTTGTTGAGATTGCATTGAATTCCTAATGATATTGTCTTCTACCCCCCAAACAATATATTTCTCGATTATTGTTTGTCTATGGTATGTTTTTAAATTTAGTTTTTAATTGCTCATTGCTAGCATGTGAAACTATAATTGTTTTTCTTATATTGATCATAAATTCTGCAGCCTTGCTGTATTCATTGTTCTTGTAGGAGTTTTTTGTTTTTTGTTTTTTTTGAAATGTTTTAGATGTTGATGGACCTTTATTTATTTATTTATTTTTATGTGGTGCTGAGAATCAAACCCAGTGCCTCAACATGCTAGGCAAGCGCTCTGCCACTGAGCCACAACCCCAGCCCCTGGTAGGAGTTTTTATTTTTGTTTTCAAGATTGCATTAGGTTTTTTTGTATAGTTGAACATATTATCTGTGAATAAGAGCACTTTAACTTCTTTTTCATCTTTTGGATACCTTTTATCTTTTTTCACCTGCCTATTGCAACAAATTAGAACCTCAAGTATACATTAAAATGGTAATGGCAAACAGACATTTTTGCTTTGTTGATCTTAAGGTGTAAAGTATTATATATGCTGTTAATTGTAGGTTTTTCATATGCCTTTTATCAGGCTAGGTAAATTCCTTTTTATTTCTTATTTGGTTTAGAGTTAAGATACATTTTAGATTTTATAAAATGCTTTTTCCAAATCTATTGAAATGATCGTATGATTTTCATCTTTTAGTCTGATAATGTGGCAAGTTGATTTTGAATCAATTTTGCATTCCTGGGACAAATTCCACTTGGTTATGATATAGTGTCTTTATAAAATATTATTGATTTGATTTGCTCATTTTTTTGGGGAAATTTTGGATCTATGTTAATGAAGGAAATTGATTTTTATGATAGTTGTCTTCAAATAGTAGTTGATTGGAAATGTCTTTGATCTTTAATTGAAATGTCTTGTGACCTTATGATGCTTGTGTGATCTAATATGGGTTTTTAGTGCTTATTTTTTTAAACCTTGCCTTAGCAACATTCCTTCAAATTTATTACTTGTTTTATGGCCCTGAATATTGTCTGTCTTGTTAAATGTTCTTTGGCATTTGAAAAGAATGTGTATTCAGCTGTTGTTTGCTGAAATGGTCTATAAATGTCTGTTGGCTCAAGTGGATTGATAGTGTTGTTCAAATCTACTATATCTTTGCTGGTTTTCTTCTGTTTACTTGTTATGTCAGATATTGAGAAAGAAGTATTAGAATTTCCAGCTATAATTGCATATTTGTCTGTTTTCTTTTAAATTCTGTCTTTGTTTTATGTAATATGAAGTTCCATTATTGGTGTATGGACATTGAGGATGTCTTATATCTCTTTATGACCTTTATGCTTAGAAATCTACTTGATTTCATTAATGTAGTCACTAACTTTTTGAATAGTTTTAACATTTTATTTTTCCCCATCTTTTATTTGTATTCTTTGTGTGTGTGCGTGCACGCGTGCGTGTACATGCATGTGTGTGTGTGTATGTATGTGCGCTGTGTATCCAACCTAATGCAATCAACCTGTGTGTCTAACCTAACTCACAGGCAAGCACTCCTCCACTGAGCTATATCTCAACCCTTATTTAGGTCTATTTTAAAAATACAATCTTACTAGACTTTTGATTGGGTTAGTTAGATGTTTAACTTTTTTAAAAACGTCAAGTAAGTTTTATTTCCTGCTTACATTCACATTCATCTCCAGGTACAGGTGAGTACATCTTTACTTCATACTTCCTTCCAGGACCAGAACCCAGGTGCTATTCAGGGTAAACTGGACTTAGAAGGAAAAAGATGTAGTTGAAAATACCCAGGGAGTGATATGTATAACTTTTCCTTTACATTTTATGACCCCCAAAGCAAATCAAATGGCCAAACCTTTTTGAGTCAGACAAGAAGTATAATTCTGCAGAGGTGAAAACACATTTTATTAGTTTCTTCTTTTGAATTTTTATTTTAAATTTATTCACATGCCATAGAGTTCACCCTCTTAAAGGATATAATTTAGTGTTTTTTCAATATAGTCACACAGTTGTACAAC